TTGAAGTTGCGATCGGATCCATTCATTAAAAAGGATCGATTCAATGCATCTCTTCCGTTTGAATACTTGTTCTATTCTAAATCATTACTAAAAAAAACGAGAACTTTTGGATTTTTTTCTTCTTTCATAGATGTAGAGAAGATTGAATCGGAATTTTTTTCTTGAATATCATCAAAAAAAATTCGGATTGACCAGCATTTGACCAATTAGAAACCCAATATTCTATACTTTTAGTAAATGATAGAGAAATCCACTACATCAGATCGAAATATTTACATATTATATAATATATTATTTGTTGAATTTTTTAATTTCTAATTTATTGAAACTGAGATATGTAATTTATTTTTGGGCCTTCAATTTTTTTTTTTTCATTTTGGGCTTATTTTTATTTTTCAATTTTGGGCCAAAAAGAGATTATTTGGGCCTAAAAATTAAGAAAAACAACAATAATGAAATAAAAAAATACACAATTCGTCCCATAAGCATAACAAAAACGAATGATGGAAAAAAGTGAAGGTGGAAAAATATGAAAATGAAAAAACGAAGGTGAGAAAAAAGTAAAAAGTTATAGTGTCCTACAAAATTAAGTCAACAAAAGGACAAAAAGTGAAAGTGAATGTTTTGTATTTGTCGGTCATAGTGAATGACTGAATGTATATATATTTGTTATTCCTTCCTATTTTTTTTTAAAATGTCATTATAGCTTTATCAATTATTTGTCAAATAAATGTCGTTTTGGATATTTTCTACATTTTTTTCCATTATTACCCTCATTTAGCTAATAAATACATTACGTCTTTTCATATTCACTCTTCACTTTTTTCTCAAAACATTCATCTCTGTCTTCATTAAATAGGGTTATTATTGACAAAAAATATTCTTAATTAACGTGCAACTTCTCAAAACGACATATATTAAAAATAAGAGGTAGTATATTTTTTAATATTTACCGGTTCGGCCGGTTAAACCGGCGGTTTGCCGCAGGTAATTCGTTAACCGGACCGTTTATTCTGAATTTTTAAAAAAAATTAACCACCGGATTTTTTAAGGCTTTTGTAACCGACCATTTAACCGATCCGCGGTCCGGATTGACGGTTTTTTTGGTTAAAACCGGATCGTGAATACCCCTAAGTTCAATAGAAGTGCACCGGTGATTAGGGTTGCAAATTAGTCGAGTCGAATCGCGCATTGACCTTATTGAGCAAGATTAATTTTTTTAGCTGCTCGAGCTCGACTTATGAGGCTCGAGATCGACTTATGAGGCTCGAGCTCGACTTATAAGGCTCGAGCTCGACTCGATTAAAAAATACAATAGCTCGAGCTCGGCTCGAGTTAGGTTCAAATTTTTCAAGCAATTTTGTAAAATTGGAATTAAGTACATACATTAACATTATGATACATGTATATGCAAGGAATTTTAGTAATTTAACATATATCTCGAACCATTCACAAGCCGCTCGACAATGCAAAACATAAGCTCGAGTTCGTGCTCGAGTCGAGCTTTGACTCTAGCGGCTTGCGAGTCGCTCGATTCGTGTGCAGCCCTAGTGGTTAGTATTAAGAACAAGTCTAATGTTGTTCTACAATGCTACTATACTTTAGAGTTGTGCGAAAACTCGTTCTAATATTGCGCTACTCTTAAGATATGAACAATATTGCGATACATCTATCAATTAACAATAAGGTCAAACTATGTTGTTTTTATAAGATGAATTTAGCACAATTGTACACATAAAAACTCCCATTAATTTGGTTAGCTTATTAATAGTCTTCAATTTATATAAGCATAAACTTTGCATTAAAAAGTTTAGAAAAAAATTACTTCATTCAACTACAAATCTCTATTTATTATTTGCGATATATATTTATCTAAACTATACATATACTACTCTTTATAGTTTATGTCATTTATTTGTTTATTATGTTATTATTATTATTTATAACTCATGATTTATGTGTATTTAATTGGGATGTCTAAGGATTTTTCAGACTTTATAAATCCTGGTGCATTCAATTATATTTGTTAAGACTTTCAAAGAGCTCGGGTATTCAATTGCGATTTAAAAAGTCTTACAAAATCTTGAGGTATTTAATTTATTTGACACTAGAATTTATTAAGACGTTTTAATATTTGGTAGGATTTCTAAACAAAAAATTTTATATGAAATCTCACTTCAAATCCCACATCCATCCTCTAAAATTTCACAAATTCCTCCATATCTGAAAATCTTAAAAAGTATCAAATGTTAAAAAATTTAAAATATTATTTAGAATTTCAATTGAATACACCTCTAAATTTGAATCGCATATCTATATTTATATAAAAATGTTTGATTATTTTTTAAATAATAATTATTTCCCTCCAAAAAAATCTATTTACTATTTCAGGAAATTAATTTAACAATTTATGGTATATTTCAAATTATCACTTATGGAAATTGGTGAATTATTTATGGAAATGATATAAGCCATAAAAAATCATTTTTATGATACCTTAATTACTCAAATGATGAGAATTTGGTTGATTTGTCGAAATATGAGAATTTCAGCTGCAATATCAATTATGTGATTTGGAAAAAATCTTCCAACTAAATTTTGTAATTAATTATCTAATAAGTGTTTTATATTTTTCGTGTAATTTTTTTGTGAAATACATTCTTAATATACCTTAATTATACAAATTGTATAAATCCGAATGTTTTATGCAATCTGTAAATAATTACTAGAATAATGAAAATAATAACTAAAATAATTGATAGCGCGATTTGCAAAAAACTATTCTAAAAAAAATTGTGTTAATGACAATTTTTATTTAAATATTATTTAATAATTGTTATTTATTTTTTGTGTATTTAATTACTCAAATTGTGGACAATTAAGGAAATATTTAGACCATAAAAATTTAGATTTCTAAGATACCCTAATTATACAGTCGAATAAATTTGGTTGATTTATTCAATCATAATTTTCTTATAAAATTATTCCGAAGTAATTGTGTTAATGGTAGCTTCTATTTAGTTATTTTCTAATAAATGTTTTTTGTGTCTTTTTTATTTTTATCTATATAAAACGCTGGTCTCGATTTTGTTTTGTACGCTACGCAATTAATTTTGTAGTAATACTGAATATCATTTTTTGTATTTTATCGATAAAGTATGAAATCGAATTATTTGGTATACTATATTGATCCAATATACCTGCTTATGGTAAAAAAAATTGTAACTCAATTTTTTGTTATATTTGCTAAGCATTTTACTAGATATTAATTAGTGATAAATCTAAAGATTACTATAGTTTGTAAAAGCGCGTGGAACATATCAAATTATTTCGTGTGTATACATACATATATATATATATATATAT